AAAAAAGAGTCTTATTTAAGTCTGATATTGTAGTTACTTTTACGCATAGCGATAATTTGCTTCATGTCTGTCAGGGGTTTTGGACTATTTAACTTTTACCAGCTCAAGTACACCCTCATAGGGTACATTGTGGAGAGATTGACAAGTTAGGATATAAAGCACACAGAAACTAGCGAGAGAATTGGTTTGCATATTCAGATAAATCTCTAATTGTTAGAAAAGATTCTTAAAGAGCATAAAATCGATATAAACTAGCCAAAATGTTTGCGAAGGCGTCTAATTAAAATGACGGATAAATATTTTGTTTTGTTGTATAAAACATAAATGTTTTGTAGCTTTTAATGTGTAATTATCCTAATATCGTTTAAGAATCAATGTCATAAATTACATGTATTTTAAACTGTGAAATTTGATTAGATTTTGATTTTAATAGGGCTTTTCTAACAAATATTGTTGTTAAAATTTAGTAGTGGCCATGTAAATCCATAATGACTAAGGTTATCTAATAACCTAATTTAATTATTTATAACTAATTGCGTACCCTTAAAAATTATATCTGCATAAGTGAGTTATTTATTGCCTTTTATTAATCTTCACCATCGTCACAAGATAAAGCACAAAAACACAAAAATTCAAGAAAAACTTTTTCTTTGCATCGAGTGAGACTTAAAATAATACAAAACAACTTATCACCTCTAGTGCTTTAGTGGCATATTGAAACCTTAAAGTATATTAACTGGGTTACAACCCCTGAAACTATACATGCAGCTACGTCACTAACTACATCAAACAAAGCCCAGCCAACTTTCAAAACTTGTTAACTGCACCTACATCAGGCCTTTCAGGTTTCGTTCTAATCAGCAGGTCTCTCTCTAGACAAGCTGTAGCAGTGACAATATTCAATCTTTTGTTATGAATCATGCTGATTATGTTTATTTCTCATTTTAACCTATGACGCTTGACATAAAATCTACAAACTACAAGAATCACACAGCATCCCATTTGCATCTGCTCCAACAGCCAATCATGTCTCCATGTCATCCTGAATCACTGCCACTCATCACCAGTAATTACAGGCATACAGAGTCAACTTTACCACAGCAGATATAGCAGCGTTCAACTAACCACAGTCAAGGCACATGAGGGCAACGAGGCTGCAGACGTCCTGGCAAAGGTAGCTGCCAACGGACCCGACGCCCATTGAGAGAATATCCCAGTTCCGCCGTCTCATCTAAAACCAATATTGCATCAAGCAGTCCTCAGAGAGTGGCAACATGAATGGAACACAAGTGAAACAGGTCGCCACACCTATATCTTTCTTCCAAAAGTGTCAAGGGCCTGTCTCATTGCAACCCCATAACTCACAAGACTGGATACGGCACTTTCCCTTCATATTACTTCAGACACCATATCTCCAACAAAGACACGTGCATCTGTGGCCGAGAAGGAGCACCCGATCATTATATCTTCCACTGTCCACTGATAACCTTAACTCATATTAAGCATCCCACAACAATAACTGAGGCCTTCCAGTGCTACATTATCAGCACTAAGCCAAGAAAACACAAATCTGCTAAACCGTCAATCATCAGCCTCCGTGGTCCAAAATGTGTGCCAGCCACATTAAATCCTTGCCAGCTTCCCAGTAAGAAGAACTTGATCTACATGAGCAACTTCAAATATTTTAGGTTCCATGGAATTGTCACAGGGTGTAATGGCTGCATTCCACTAATGTGCAAATTGTGAAACTGCAGAGTGTGTAAATGTTCATCCTCCTGTACTACAACTGCAGCCAGCTGCATCATCCTATGCACGATTCGTAAACAGAGACCTGAAGCAACTGTAAACTACGTGCAAATTATGAACAATGCATGCAAACAGCGAATTATTTGCGACTACACACATGTGCAAACTGTTTAGCTGTATGAACTACACAACCATGGACAGCCTTATGTGCAAACTCTTGTGTAATCTATGCCTTACGAACTCCTAGCATAGAACTCAACATACTGTGCACCACATGCCACTTGAGGTCATTAACCTAGCAAATTAGCTCAATACATGCCTTAACCTAGCAAATTAGCTCAGTACATGCCTTAATTATATTTCTTCGCATGTTTTAATTCTTGCTCTTGCTGCCTTTTTTTTTTTTTTTAAATAATTCTGCAACATTTTTGTTTCCTTGCCATATCTGTTCAGTCAAAGTCACTCCAAATCTGTAAAACAAAACATGAGCGCCCTTGTTTGGCCATGTACAGCCTTTTTCATGTCTCAATAAACTCCCGAAGCAGCCTCTTGGGACTCCAGGGAAATGTTTCCGCTAGATAAAGGAGGGCGTGGGATATATTCCTGTTTACCTATGTTAGACACCAGGTGTCCCTGTCCTCTGTAACATATAACCTATTAGAGCGAGCTATTGTCTTACATTAATAGTCACTGTGGTCACAAGATACAACACAAAAATGTAAAAATTCAAGTAAATCTTATTCTTTTCATCTAGTGAGACTTAAAATAATACAAAAACCTTATCACCTCTAGTGCTTTAATGGCTTATAGGAACCTTAAAGTATATTAACTAGGTTACAACCCCTGGAACTCTACACGAAGCTACGACACTAACTGCATCAAACAGAGCCTAACTTTCACCACTTGCCAACCATGTCTACATCAGGTTTGTTCTAATCAGCAGGTCTCTATCTAGACAAGCAGCAGAGGTGACAACATTCAGTCTTTTGTTTTGAATCATGCTGATTATGATCTTGCTTCTCATTTTAACCTATTCCGCTTGACATAAAATCTACCTGCTATTTACTAAACCTCTAGACTGACCAAGTATGGGACAAAATGAGACATAAAAAAAATCAACATAAAGCTAGTAAAGCGTAAATGTCACTTATCTTCTTTCAAATAATGTTCAACTATTATAAGTGTAAAATATTTAATGCTACTTGATAAATTGCATGAAGTTAATTTTATTATCTGACTTATTAATAATTATGGTAACTAATTCATGTTTAGTAATAATGCATACTACTTGCGGATCTATTTTATTTTTAGAATGCTATAACAAAAGGGAATTTCAGGCATAGATAATATTTAAATTTAATTTATTCAGTTCCCATTTGCTCATAGGTCCTTAATTTTTTTCATTAATGGTCCTTAAAAGTACTTAGTTTCCATGTGCAGAAATGTGTACGAACCCTGGTTGAAGGTACAGCATCTTTTCGAACCCTTGGACAAATGAAATTAATTTTCATCAAAATGTTCATCTGCACTCTCGATGTGTGATTCGACAAAATAAACCTAAAAAGGATGAAAAATTCAATTTCGACTACCACTGTAGATTCATAAAATCTTGCAAATAATTTAAATGTAAAGTGAAAATTCAAATTTCCTTGCAATATGTTAGATTTCCATTCAGAAATAAATTTAAGAACTTAGAAAATGTTAGCTAGAATTAAGCTACCTAGTATTCCAATACATATCCCAGTAAATACACATCATTCCAGTACATATACTGAAATTCAGCTGCATGTTTATGAAGTTCTTGCTTATTTATTATTAACTTAAATGTTCTCACTATATTCCATTACAGATTTAAATGCTTTAGAATTAATGACTAACTGCTTAACTTAAATCTTCTAGATTTCATTACAGATTTAAATACTGTAGAATTAATGACTAACTGCTGTGCTATTTGTTGATTTATCTATCGGGGAAATTATTTCAGATTTTATAGAATTCAAAATAAGATTAATCAATATCAGATATAAAAGTTTAATCATTATCAAACATGCAACAATAAGGCCTAATTTTTGATCGAGAAATGCATATTTTTTAAATGCAAAAATTATTTTCAATTAAAAAATTGTGATTTAAAAAATTGATGGTACATACCTGTAAAATCTTTTGATGGGCTGAAATTCTGCCGGTGAATAGCATGTAGCTTTTTTCTGCACAACAAGTCCAATTTGGGAAACGAAAGCAGCTGTACTTTTCAGTATTTCGATAATTTCCTTTGCCGTTAGAAACATGACAAGTATAAACCATTCTTCAACATTATTAGAAATTAAAATATTTTTAAAATCTTTTATAAGCTTTCACACAACATACAAATCTCCCACTAAAAGTATAAGCATGCTTGCTCATTACCACTGAAACAGCCATGATGGTTTGTTATATCTGTTAGTTCGCCTTCTAGTTACATCACTCACAGCAGAAGGAAGGCCTTGTTCCAGTGGTGATGTACCTGCCCACATTTTGCCACATTTGTTAAGGTTACACTGCAGAAGTTTGGTTACAAACACTTACACATCTTCCATATAGTCTGGATCGCTCCCTTTACAATTTGCATATTTTGAGAGGCCTGAGGAAAAGATATTCATGGCTGTAAAATTTCTTGACGAAAAGGTGTGCACTTGGGCAAAATCATAGTTCCATAGGCAATCAAAAATATTTTTCCGTTAAAGCATTTACCATCTTGTCTCACAGTGGGATAAATATGTTAGCAGTTATGGTGATTTTGGAATAAAAAACAGTTTCATAACTTTTCTCCCATCTTTCTTGTTTTCATTCGACTGCCCCTTATATTTGCATATCAGGAAAAATAATATTGAAATAAATAATAATAGTTTTCTTTTTCCCCTCACTGTGTGAGAAAATAAATATGATTGATTAGTACAATCAATATATGATATTACTTCAAATTTAAGCATAAGCATAATTTTAAAATTGAAAAAATAATAAGTGAAAATGATTTTATAATCTGCATTGACAAATACCTGTTCATTTTGATTTTTAATCACCAGTTTTTGGGAAGTGGGAGGAAGACAAAAATAAGTTATTAAAATATTTGATTTTGAAGTTTAGCCACGCCATAGTTTTGGATAAAAAAGTGCGGCATACATTTGAAGTGGTATGATTTTTTTTAATTCCATGTAGAAATAATTTTGCATACCAGTGTATACAGATACTGGCATTAATATTTTTCTTCAATTTAGGTTCGATTTGCTCTACTTAGGGCTCTGTCACTACCTGAAAGTGCAGAAAAGCATGCTCGTATTCAAGCTCTCACAGGACTTATAAGTACCATGATAGAATCTTGTCCGTCTACTTCATCACAGAGTCAGTTGAGTGGATGTGCTTTAAGATCTCAGTCATCATCGTTAGTATCTTTTTCATTGTTTTTGTTTTACATAAAGTCCTAAACAATTTATGTTACTTTCATGGTATGATCCATTTTTTGGAATTGTTTTAATATTGAAATTTTTGCATGAAATGCTGCATGGAAATGTCTATAAATTATTTTCATTTATCCTTTCACTATATGTTTAATAAGAAAAGGCTTTTGAATCATTAGTTATTTCCAAGTCGCAGTTTTATGTAATTCTAAAGTAAATATTTTGTTAAAAAGCTGCAATACATGCACTAAAGTTAAATAGAAGTATTCTCGAATTAGGAACCTTTTTTTCTATTATAAACACTTGCCTGAAAATAATGTTTGTATATGAATCAAGGAGAATGTAGATATTTTTCAGTTCCTAGTTAACACATGAAATAAATCTTAATTTTCGTCAAATCGCACACAAGGTAAACCCTAATTCGTAGTTCAGCTAGCTCCTAAATCTCAAAGCTGATTAGTGGCTGATTTGCATCTGAACTTCCTAGCTTTCTGACCCATACTGATACCCTGCAGCATCGCCTCTGGAAACATCTAGAAGAATCGGTCACAGGGCTTAGATAATGTGTTTCCTCTTGTCTTTTATAAAGTTTTCAGAGGTTCCCTTAAGCAAAATTTCATATATCTTGAGTTCTGAGTTATTTTTATAGTCCCAAAGAAAAGTTCTATGGTGTATGTAACAAATAAGATTTTATGTAGAAGATGTAGCCACATATAACATTAAACACAACCCATAAAATTACCATTCTTAAAACAGTAAACGTATGAAATAAGTAAATAAAACAATATCATATACTGAAACTGTCAGGTTAGTTCTCCAGGATTTGGATATAGATAGGGATACAATTATTCAAAACCTGTAATGTCTGTCCACGTATTTTGTTTCATAATTTAGGTTGAAATTATTTCCCTTTTTTCTGTTATAAACACTAAAACACTGTATTTTTAAACCACTACCAGGTTTATTAACTTGAAATTTTAAATTTTATTCTGTGCATTTCTCTACAGGAGACCTACTATTTTAAATACTGCACAACTGGATTTACTTTTTTTTTTCTATCAAACTTAAATAGTTAGAATAATAGTCTCTTAAAATTGTCATTTTTATTTTTAAAATGGATAATGATGTTTGTCTAATTTTTGATGTATGCATATCTTTGTAGCTGCAGTTTTTATTCAAAAATTTCTTAAGATGCAAAAAAAAAAAAAAAAGTTTTGTATTTTTTCAGGATGAACAATATAGTGAGACTATTTCTTCGGAAAGGAATTGTTGTTGATTTGGCAAGGATACCACATTATCTAGACCTATCTAGTCCTCACATGGCTACTACAGTGAATTGTGCTCTTAAGCCGTTAGAGACATTATCTCGTATTGTAAATTTACCATCTGGTAGTATGACAAATAAATCTAAGGGCAAATCTTCAAGTGCAGAAACTAGAGATTCGGTACCTGAAGCAATGGAAGAAGATACTTCAAGTGGTCGTTGCAGCAGTAAGTTACGGTTGAATAATTTTTTTTTTTTTTTCAAATGTGTATATTTTTAGTCACATTGGTTTCTTAGGCGATGTTCTCATATGCAGGTAGAATAGAACCTTGAATACTTGCATGTTTAATCTATATTTCATCTGTTTTTATTAAAAAAAATCTTGGAAAATCTTTAGGTCTGCAGTTATTTGAGATACTTGCAGATGAAATGCATTGCCTAGATTTTTCTCTTTTTAAAAGCTGTTAAATACATCTTTATGAAAGAATAAAAGCACACACACAGATGCACCTGTACTAGTCTTATTTATCATTAAGTGCTGTGAAATATGCATGAAAATCTGTCCAGTTTTATTCTCTGCTATTAGGAATGTATAAGATAGATGTTTATATTATGACAAATATTTGCAAGTCCTTACACAGACTTTTTATGATCTATCTATCTATAAGGCATAATCTTTTATTGTTAAAGAACAGCTGAATAAATGTAATTTTTCTCTTCCATATAATTTTCATAGTACTCATTTTCTTTTCTTAGCTTTAGTGTTTCATAGTTTATTATGTAGTACGTATGCAAGCCTATGAACTAGTTTTTCTTAAGAAAATGCTCATCATGTAATCTATCTCCTGAGGGAGATGTGCTTTGCTGTATTCATGCAAACAATTTTGCATTGTATTTTAACAGGTCAATCTCTGTTTTGTATTATATGCACACACATGTACAGGTATGTGTGGGGGAGGTAAATAAAATTTTGCTGTCCGATTGTAAAAGCTGTGGGAAATCAGTGTAAGATGACTGTTGATGTTTATTGTAAATGATTTAAGCAAATAACTTTGATTTTCTGTGAATATGTATGACATATGACGTGTCCAATCAAAATGTGTAAGTTAATCTTATGTTGCTAACCTATTTCTAGGCATGCTGTTACATGTTTAAAAAATTATGCAGTTATACAATTGTTCTTAAAAGCAGTATCTCAACAAGCAAAATAAAAAATTAAATACTTCAGTTTTTATTTGGATTAGTCTATTAAGAAAAGAAAAGGCAGAAAATTGTATTTTATTAATGTCATGTGACATGGTCTTCCATTCACTACTTTCCAAAAGTCCACAGGTCATGCAACCATAGAGGACTGTAAATGCCATTCTTGTGATAAGGTAGCTTCTCTTTGAGAATAATTGGAGATATATACAGGTTTAAAAATATATCAGCATGTCAAAGAGTATTACTAAGATTTTCAATGGAGCTATGTTGAGTGAATATGGCATGGACCCCACATGAACAATGCCTTTGTTCTCATAGTATTAATTTAGAGGATTGCTGTGACTGACATTCATTATCATCCATGCTTGACCAAGTGCTGCACTAATCTCAGTGGTTTTACGGACTTCACTCTGCTACCTTTACATTGTCACAGTATCTCTTCTAAAGGTACACATATCAGTGTGGCTGATCAAAGAATGCCTTTACTTCGCCAGCACTCAAGACATTGTTTTCAGTGATTCTGCTGAATTTGTTGAATCATATTGCTGGTTTTCATTATTATTGCTCTGAATGTATATTTTTGGTCACACCATGCACTGTTTGTGTAGTCCGTTCCATAGTCATAGACTTTTATTGCAAAATGAAAGCTGGGATCTTGAGAATTTGCATGTGCTTGACTTTTTGAAAGACCCAGTATTCTTAGAATAGGTATGATACTTTCACTCAGCACTAAAAGGGTTAATAATAAAACTTTTCTTTCCTACACAAGAAGCTTATAAAATGAAATTTAAAGCAAATAAAATATAGAATAACTAATTAAGTATTAATGTTTTCCATCTGAATCACATTGTAAATAGTTCAGTAACCTGAATCATTGTGAAAAAATTTAAACCAATTTGTCATTTTCTTGAAAAAGCATCATCATGCAGCATAAAAGACCTTCTTGTTTTGCTCAATTAAGTTTGACTGCTGTATTTTATTGTTAATCAAAATTTTATGTTTCCTTTATTTTCTTTTTTTTAGCTGGATTGTCCATTTTGCCATATCGGGCTGGTCATGCTGCAGCTGCAACTGTAAGTTAATGTTTTTTTTGCTTGTGTATTTTGAATATCGAAATTATTACTCTATCCCATAATAGTAGTTGTTGGTGAATTTAATGTGTCCCATAATAGTAGTAGCAAAAGAAAATATACAAACACAACATCTGTTATAAAAAAAATTAGATTCAGTTAAATTATAATTAAAAATATTATTCTTAATTTTTATTTTGAGTGTTCAGTTAGTTTCTGGGTATTTCAATAATTTTAAATTTGTAGGTAGGATCTCTTGGCCACAAAACTTTGCTTTCCATATATGCTTGAACTTAGAATTATTGGAGCCATCATTTATAACTTGTTGAAGTGACAGTAGCACCAGTATTTCATGAGAAATATCAAGGGATATGTTTATTGATTCTGTGGTGCTTTTTCTGCTGAAAAGAATATGTTTGGTTTCCAAGTTTTCCCCCATAACTTTTGCATTTTCATAACCCCCCCCCAAAGAATGAACATTAGCACAAGAGTAATCTTGGCAATTATATTCAAAAGCATGTTTTCAAATTCTTGATATGATCATTTTGTTGCACTTAAATTGTTTTGGAGTTAATGTAATCGCACATTTTGTTGCAACATTTTCTATTGATGCATCAAGAACTAGCTAATTTCAATCCAACCTTTACTTGAAAACTTTTTTCCATATTATTTTTACAATGAGTTAATGTTTAACTGAAATAAAATTTATTTTGGTCATGTGATAAAATTAGAAAAGTATTTGATTGGTTATAACTAGGTTAAGCAAAGAATTGGAAAATTGCAAAACAAATATGTCAGATGTTATGAAACATTGATTTTCATTTAAGGCTTCACGATTTTGTGCTACAGTACAACTTACAGTTGCTTTCACCAATAATTCTCGTTTAAATTACCACACTTACTACTGTTATCATGTGACGGAGGTAGTCATGTTTTACAAGTTGGTGAAATTAATAATAGGAATTTTTTTCCTATTTTTGGTACTTCTAAATATTGTTGTATAAAAAATTTGAATAACTAGAAGTTTTATACTGTGTAGTTTCATATAGTTTTAAATATTTTTTTCTTCCTGAAATAATTTGATTTTTTTAACAACATAATGAAATTAAAAAACTAGTAATATTTACGGGTTTAATGGTAAATTCTAAGTTAAAGTCAAAACTGCAGGTATTAAGTGTCGGTTATGTATGCTTTATATGAAGCCTTAACGTTTTTGCATAAAACCAAAATTCGGGTTCATAAAGTAATTCATATTCTCATTTTATTTTATGGATTCTGATAAAGAGAAATATTTATATTGTGCATTAGATATATATATGTATATTTTAAATTTGGGAAGTTAGGTGAGGTAATTAATTCAGTTTGCCTGTATTAAGATCTCTCTAAGGGAAATTTCACCTAATAAAGTGGAGAACCATTTATCAGCCAAACTATTCTGTCATTTTGACCAAAATATGAAATAACTAGTAGTGTTAGAGGTTTGGTCTATAACAGACTAAGACTTGAAGCATTGGTAATTGTATTATATTTTGAACGTTGTCTAAACATGTTCTTTCAAATGTTTCAGTTTCTTCTGAATTGGAATGAGAAACTGTGCTGCCAGTGAGTCACTAGCTCATTTGCTGAATATTAAGGAAGTGACTGTAGTAGTATGACTTTCAGTTCATACATTTTGATCCTAGATAAATATTTTTTTGTACAGGAATTTTCAAAATAAGATAAATAATTTTGAAAAATCAAATATCATGAATGAGATGAAATATAAAAAATTACATTTTTTAACTATCTTTTAAGACTTCCTGTTAATAAAATAGATGTATTAAATACATATATTTTTATATCTGTATGTGAAAAATAGTAAAAATTTTAACGAAGAAGTTTGATATACTAGGCCTTAATGAAATCAACTAAGCAGTCAAATTTTTGGGTGCGTCTGTAAAACAATAGTACTCCGATTTTGTGACTAGAGCAGAGCACTGTTTATATGTCTTTCAAGGGACCATTCACAAACAACATATAAATGGGAAAGACTTATAAACGGAAATTTAATTAATGATGTGAAGCATGTATGTATTAGCTTCATAATTTTGATACTACTAACTTGCTACTGATATTACAGAATTTTATTATCCTGCTTTCAATTTGTGTAAAATATTAACTATGTTCAAGCAAATTTAAAATTTGTATTATTCATATTTGAAATAAATATTTAATTAATATTAATAGTTTAAACAATTTCTTATAATTAATACTTAAAAAAATATTACAAATTTCATATTTTTGAAGACAAAAGAATGCAAATTTACTGTACATAGTTATGTAAAATAAAGAAAAAGTCATTCTTTTATTTGCACTATCTTGAATAAGAACATTTTAAGTAGAATTTTAAGTTTTTTAAAGGAAGTTTTTAAGGTACATATGTGCTAATGCAACCACCTTAGCACAATTTGGTAACTTTGTATGGAATAAAAAAGTTATTTGGTGAACTTTTTGTATTTCAGCTTGTAATGGATATGGTTACCTGAATCATATCTGACCTGATGGATATATGCATGGTAACATAGTTTGGCAACTTCTACGAAAGTTGTTGGTAGTAATGCACAAGTATTTCTTTTTTAATTGTCCTTTGACAAATCTTTTAGTTTTGAATTGTAAGCAAAGGGCTGTGAATCAAATTCAGTTCTTGAATTGTGTCCTTGCTTGCATTATTACACACAAAGAAATTTCTCAGGGCTGTCAATACAGTAGAAAGTATTTTGAAGATAAGGTTATTTCTTCATTCTCTTTCATCATTCCTGCTCCTTAAATGTTCATCTTTTAAAATGCGTTCGGTTATTTCTTCAACTGTGTGTAAGCTTCGTATGTTTACTTGCTATCATTCTTTACTTATTCCTTGATTGTAATGTCTAATCCCAGTAGTTTTCAATCTTCATGCACAATCACAGTTTCTTCAACATTTTTATGCTCAACACTTTGAAAATTCCTCTTTAATGTAGCAATTTTTAATAGTTTATAATTTCACTTGAGTCTTGTAGCTATATTAAGGGCTATTTGAAACAACTTTTGCCTGTAGAACATTTTTCAAACTATAAATGACACCCAGATCTAAAAGTTGTATACAGGTTTCCAGGAAGAGCAGGCATTTTGCAAGAGGTCTGCCGTTTGAGGATGGGCAGTCACTGATAGATAAAATAAAATTTTGTGGTCTTTTCCTCATAGTTTTTTGTCTATTTTCTTGAGCCATTTTGTACAAATGTCCATATTCATCCATGCTACCATGAGCATTTGCACAAAGCAAAGCAGCCAGACTGCCTTTACGTTGCTTAGCTCCATGACACTGGTCCCCTTTGAAAACTAGGGTTCTTGCAAGCATAAGTTTAAAGGAAGAGGAGTTTCATCAAGGTTTGAAATGTGTTTAAATTCATATCCATCTGTTTTTGGGGATAAATTCTTGAACCACACTTCAATGCATTTTTGAGTCTCTCTTTATTATATGACATGAAATTCCATTCCGCAGTTTAAATTTATGCAGCCATCTAATTGAAAAACGAGCTTACTTCACGTTTATTTGAAGTGCTATGGTGAAATGGCTTTGCCTCAGGAAACTTTCCATCGTGAACATGTAATTTCTTTGAAGTGGACTGTCTACAAATTTCTGCCCTTTCTTCACTTCCCCCCCCTCCTTGAACAACCATTTTTAATGTTTGAACTAGAATATCATGTTCCGTTGCTAGCTTAGCTTTCATCAAACCAGTGTTCTCATCAACTTCTTTTAAGATTTGAATTTTAAATATTTAATGAGAATGACTTTCAGTTTCATGACATTTTGTATCTGTTTATTTTGCTCCATTTAGTTTAGTGTACCGAGCATCCTATTCAGAAGCAGGGGAGAGGAAACATATCTATTTTTTCTTCCAATTATAATCTCTATTCATGACCGAGTTTTAAATTCCCGAACCTGATTGTTATGTCTCATGCCTTTGTTTCCTTCTAGCTCCATTTCTGAGAAAAGTACTTGAAAGGTGAGACACCGAAATGTAAAACCAACGTATTACTATTAACCATCTGAGCGGCCAGGGTTTTCGCTAAGAAACCACAAATTTCCCGAAACTACTATGAGAAAAAATTATTATATTTATTTTAATGTAAAAATTCTCCTGGAATTACATACTTGGATTTGTGTACTTTTGATATATTACCTTATTTTCTTTGTCATATTTTAATATGCACGTATACATACGTTCTTACAGATATCACAAAAAATATTCTAGGCCGTATATATATATATATATATACACCGCTTACAGGGTTAAATAGGACTGAACTGGTACTAAGATGAAATGACATATAAGTGTGAGACATGTAAACTATCCTTCATTGTATATAGCAGACATGGCCAAACTGGCTTGCAAGCTATTTGCAATCCTTTGCTATCTGAAATGTGACTTGTTTTTAATAATTATAGTTTAATATTTTAATATGAATTTAAATTGAAACCATGCAATGTCACATTTCTTTATTAATCACTAATTTCTGATATTATATATGTAAACATTTTATGGATTTCAAACTGTCCACTGCTGGCTTATCATCAGGGCAACAAATATGTGAAATTACAAAGAATTTCATGTGTGGCAATTACTATTCCGTTTGTTACATTTTGAACAGGCAATGGTCGTCAGGCTACACTAATATGAAGCTAATTTAAAAGTCGATGCTAATATTTTTATTTAATTATTCTTCTTAATATTTTGTTTTCTCTCAAGTTAATTTTACTTCCAGCAGTGTCAGCTTACACTCCTGTGTGATCCCATTGTTCACAACAGTTGTGATCCACTTGGAAGACTTGCTGTTCATTGTAGGGTACAACTTGGAATGGCATAATGGGCATTTCATCGTGCCCACCTAAAGCACAGCAGGTGAAGATCCTTCAGGGAAAGATCCTTCAAGGAAGATCCTTCAGGGCTGCATCTATCCGTTTTTCTATTACAAGGTTGGGACTC